CTGTAAAAGGCATCACTTGCTGACTTTCAGTGTGTTACCACAGGGAGTCTCAGCATCCAATTATCTCTGAAGAAATATGTTAAAGATGTTCATTAACATGTTAGAAAAAAGAGGGAAACCTGTGTGAGAGAAAAGCTGGTGTCTTACACTGCTTAATGCCACCAGGAATTAGCAATAAGGAAGGTTACAACAGAAATCACTTGCTGAAATGCCTAAGCAGCCCAGGAATAGAAAGCATTTGATTCCAATTAGCTTAATTCCTGGTAATGACAGAGATGGAGTGATAAAAGTCCCTGGATAATGAGCTCCAGGCCTGAAAAAAATGCAGGAATTGGGGTTTTTTTTGTGTGTGGAAGGAGGCAAGAAACAGGAGGTGAATCTGAAGCTCCCTGGGAACTGCTCTCTGCAGGGAAAAGAAAGAAGGGAATCATCACCAAAGATTGTGGTAGGACAAGGGGTGATGGTTTTAAAGTGAGAGAGGGGAGATTTAGGTTGGATATTGGGAAGAAATTCTTCACTCTAAAGGGTGGAGGAACTGGGATGAAGGTTTTCAAGGTCAGGTTGGAGGAGGTTTCATGCAGCCTGGGCTGGTGGTTCCCTGCTCATGGCAGGGGGGTTGGAACTGGATGATCTTTAAGGTCCCCTCCAACCTTCATGATGCTATGAAATAACAGGAAGAAATAGCAAAGGAGGGAGGTTGGGGAGGGAACAACTACCAGGAAACCCTCCAGGCCTCAGGACAGCACCATGCAGGCTCTACTCAGAGGTTACTTCTGCTTTTCACCTCCCCCAGCAAACCCATCCCTCCCAACGCCTCCCAAACCAGTAGTTAAATGTTTCCTCCCATTAAACCCCCAGCACAGCACTTTCCCTGCTCCATCAGCACCAACCCACACTTCTGCTCTTCCCTGCTGAGCAGGAACAATGGGAGTGGGGCAGGAACAAAGAGTCACCTCCTGCTTTATTTTCATCTTGTTGAGAAACTCTGCCCTAACTCCCACCCCCTGGAGCCCCAGCCCTAAACACCCCAGTCCCAACCCAACCACCTCAACCCAACCCATCCCTCCAACTTCTGGGGGTACTTTTTCTGTGCCCCTTTTCCCCTCTTCATCTGCTTCTCCCTTTCCATTGACCAAGGAGCTGAACAACTTCCCAGACCCACAAGGTCTACACAGAATGAGTGGGGTTGGAAGGGACCTTTAAGGGTCATCTGGTCTTCAGGCAGAAGAAAGGAAAACAACCCTGGGCTATCTAAGGAAACCTCAGTTTTCTACTCATATTTTCAAATAAGAGAATTTCAGGTGAGGTTCCTTTACCTGAAGTTTTCACTTTCAGATGCAGCAGGAGAAATTCAAGCACAACTTGAGTCACAGACCCTCAGCAACCCCCAGGCTGCTGAAACCACCCACCCAGTTATTTGAAAGCCACACACTTGGATTTTCTACACCTTGCTTTTTCTTTTTTGCCTTGCCCATCTGACACAAACCTTGCTCCCAATGACCACACCAAAGTCCCAGAGCTGCTCTGGTGTCACCTCCAGTTTCACCCATCCCTTGGGGAGCAAAGCTCCCCTCGTGTGAACGCACACACCAGGATTGGGATTTGCATTTAGGATTCTCTTTTTGCCCCAAAACCAAAGGTGAACTGGACAGATGGGGACAAATTTAGGCCACCAAACTGCTTAAAGGAAGCCACCAGAGAGCGTTTTCCCAGTTTGCTTCTCCAGAGAAGCTGGTTTGCCCAGTGCCTCAAATGTATTTCCTACTGGTGAACTCAGAAAACTGAGCTCCTGCAGCAAATTCCATCTCACTTGGGAAGAGCCCTGGACTTGTTCCCTCCCCAGCTACCCCCTCACTTTACCTCCACATTCCACCTTGGAAAACCAGCCCCTTTTTTGTGGCTGCTTCAAAAGCAAAGTCCCAAAGTCTTTCTTCTTCCCTCCAGGGCTGCTGGCTCAGCAGGGGAAGGACCAATCCTCATGCTAAAACAAATCACTGCCCCAAAATGTGGATTGGGGTGATAATGATGCTTTTTTCCAGCACCAAAACCCCTTGAAGGTCCTTGGAAATCTCTCAGCACAGTCCTGGAGACTGCTGGGTTCTTTTGATACTGGGAGAAAGGTGAAAAATGGGAGCTGAAGCTTCATCTCAAGGTGTGTTAATGGGTTAAAGTGATTTGGCTCTGCTAGAAAAGCAGTTCAGAGGGTAAAGAGCAGCACGCTGCCTTTGGGTTGGAGAGGAGGAAGATCAGCTGCTTCCCAGACCCTTTTCAGAGAGAAACCCCTCCCAGCCCCATCCTAATTCAATCCCCCCCCCTCCCAGCATCATAGCAAACAGGTGTGAGCTGGTGCAAAACCTCCTCCTGTGTGCAAACCAGGTGTGAGCTGGTGCAAAACCTCCTCCTGTGTGCAAACCAGGTGTGAGCTGGTGCAAAACCTCCTCCTGTGTGCAAACCAGGTGTGAGCTGGTGCAAAACCTCCTCCTGTGTGCAAACCAGGTGTGAGTTGGTGCAAAACCTCCTCCTGTGTGCAAACCAGGTGTGAGCTGGTGCAAAACCTCCTCCTGTGTGCAAACCAGGGGTGAGCTGGTGCAAAACCTCCTCCTGTGTGCAAACCAGGTGTGAGCTGGTGCAAAACCTCCTCCTGTGTGCAAACCAGGTGTGAGCTGGTGCAAAACCTCCTCATCTACGTGCAAACCAGGTGTGAACACTTTTCCTCACGTGTCATTTGACCTTCTCTGCTCATGAAGCACGTAGGGAATCCTGTACAACACAAACCTCTCATTGTCTGGGGTTGTCTCCAAGAGGAGAAACCGCCCTGCTTAGGCTCTGGGTGGTTTGGCTTGAAATAACTGCAGCAAGAACATCCTCAACCACTTCTGCCTCTCCAAGGTGCTCCAATAATTGCCCCCCATCACCCTGCAGCTTCAGGAGAAGGTTTGCAGCAAACGTGGCACCTGGTAGAAGAAAGAGGGACATGGTTTAGCACCAGACTCTGTAAGGTTGGGTTAATTGTTGGACTGGATGATCTTAAAGGTCTTCTCCAACCAGAACTACTCGGTGTTTCTATGATCAGTGGTGTCTTCCCATGTGAGAGGCAGAACTAGAAGGGAGATGAGGGCTCCTCCCTTCTTGGCTGGCACCTGGGCTTAAAATTGTGATCAGAAACAGCTTCAGGGCATGGTTCTGGGCAGAGAAAAAGGAGCCCTGAGCTCAAGAGGACTGAACACACAACCCAAGGACAGGACAACTTGCCAATCCTCCTGTCCCTGCAGCCTCCCAGTTACCCCTCCCAGTGCATTTGCAAGGATTTCACATGAACCAAGAGGGACTTATGAGCCTCCCCCTTGCCAGGCATGGAGCAGCCAAGGGCCTGGATGACCTTTAAAGGCCCCTTCCAACCCAAACCATTCCGTGATTTTCCTGGAAGTGGTTTTTTGTTTGTTTTGGGGTTTTTTTTAGTACAAAACGGGAGGCATTTTACCTTCTGTGCTCCAAACACCTTGTACTTTCAGAGCTACATGGATTTCTGATCTCACCTTTTCCCAGCCTGTATTGGCCAAGGAAAAGACTTTCAAAAATTAAAAGCTAAAGTCAGGACCCCTGAAAATCTTCACCTTTCTTGGGCTCCCAGTTAACTCACTGGGCCCCAGTATGGTGGCCTCACCCCCAGGACACAGGGTTGCAGCAGGAACTGGTACTGGACACCACAGGAGTTCAAGTCCCCTCCTTGCCATGTGCCTCAGTTTCCCCTTCAGGTAACTGGGTGATCCCAGCCCAGCATGCCCACAGCCCCAGCTGCTCCCTGGCCCTGGCACACACCATGTCACCCTTCTGTCCTCCTCCAAGTGCCACTTGGTGGCACTGTTTGAACAGGTTTCTTTGCCCGTTGCCTCCCTCCTCAGCGGGATCCAGAAGAGGCAGTTTCTGGCAGGAATCTCATTCATCCTGGCATCACAATCCCCTCATTTTTCTCCCTTTGTATTTTTTGGGGTTTTTTTATCTCTTTCTTCCCCCTGATGCACCTCGGGTTGTCTCCTCCCCTGCGTGACAGTCCCTGGGGATCTCCCAAAACACATTTGCCAACCACGAGTCCTGGGTGTTGCTCAAGCATCACCTTAAACTTAATCCTCCAGTGACAAAAATAACCTTTTCTGTCAAATTCCTCTGAAGTGTTTCTTGCAGGTGGGGCGAGGAAGGATCAGGCACCGACTCCAGAACAAAGCATCAAAGCAGAAGTTAAGGAGAAAGAGACAAATGAAGACAGGGGCATGACAATGTCACTGGGGGAGGGAGGCCCCACTGGAGGGGTGTCTCCCCTGGGAGATGTAGGTTGGGATCCTCAACTCTATATAAAGACAGTCCAGGGTTGATCTGCTCAACTGCTCTCCTGAAGCTCAGCACTCCTGCTCCTCACCCAGGTAAGCCTGGATGGACTTTTCACACTCTCTGACTTTGCTACCAGGAGCTCCTGGCCATGAGGATGTCCCTGGAGCTGCTGGAATAAAATACTACTGCTAATAAAAGAGATCTGGAGTTGCCCTGTTCCACCCTTGGTTCCAGATGAGCTCCATTCCCAGCTCCTCTCCAGGAAAAGCCAGATGAGATCTATTTTTTCTCTCCTCTCTTCCTGTGTGTCTCCAGCCTTGCAGGTCTGGCTGTTCCTCACCTCCCCATCACCCTGGTCCTCACACCTGGCCACCTCAGTAGCCCAGTTTCATTTTCTGGATTTGTTTTTTTTTTCCTGTGAGATCCTTTTTTCTCTCTCTCTCTTCCCTTCCCTTGTACAGTTTCATTTCATCTGTCCCCTTCTCCTGCTCCAGCCAGGGGGGTTGGACTAGATGACCTTCAGAGGTCCCTTCCAGCCCTGACCACTCTGTGACTCTTCTGTCTGTCCAGCTGTGTTGTTTAAGAGGAACTTACCTGAAAACCATGCAAATATACAAAAAAGCGCCCCTTTTTGTCAGTGTTTTTCTTGCAGGCTGCCTCAGCTTTGCACAGAGATGTCCCAGCCCCAGGAAAACATGGATGGCATCATCTCTGCTTTCTACATGTGCACCAGGAGCGATGGGAAGTGCAGCCCCCTGAGCCTGGAGGAGCTGAGGTACCTCATGGAGCAGGAGTTTGCTGAGGCCATGCAGGTGAGAGTCCAGCCCCACCACCAGCACCCACCACGGGCTGGTGTCTTGTGGCTGCAGGGTTGGGACATGGAGCACGGTAGGGTGGGCAAAGCCCACTGGCTGTCATGGACAGTCAGATCCCTGGGAAAGGCCCAGATGCCTTCAAAGGAGAAGAGGAAATGGCCTCAAGTTGCTTCAGGGGAAATTGAGGTTGGATATTAGAAGAAACTTCCTCCCCAAAAGGGTTGTCAGGCCCAGCCATGGGCTGCCCAGGGAGGTGGTTGCATCACCCCCCCTGCAGGTGTTTCAAAGCAACGTAGACGTGGTGCTGAGGGACATGGGTTAGCAGTGGACTCAGCACACCTGGGTTAATGGTTGGACTTGATGATCTTGAAGCTCTTTTCCAACCAGAAGTATTCTGTGAAAGCCCAGGATCTGCAGGGACCAGGAGAGGCTGTTCAGTCTTGTAGAGCTTAGTGTGGGGAGCAACACAAGTCATGGTGGTGGGGGAACACAGGGCTGGATTTCTGCCCTGAGACTGCTTGAGACCTTCCCAGAGAGATGGCCCAAAAGGTTTCTGGGCTTGGCCAACACTGTTTGTCTCTTTACAGAACCCCCAGGACCCCAAAACTGTCAAGAAGGTGCTGTGCTTCCTGGACGACAACAGCAACTGCAGGGTTGACTTCAGAGAGTTGCTCAGTCTGGTTTTCCGCGTGGCCAAGGCTTGTTACCAGCCACTCCAGCAGCACCAGAGACCAGAAGATCAGCAAGAGCTGATAAAGCAAGAGAAGGCAGTTGGGGAGCAGCCACTGGGGCTGCAAGCAGAGGGGAGGGTCTTCCACAATGAGCAAGTCCATGAGCAGGATGTGAGCAATCAGGTCCAGGACCCAGTTGACCACCAAATCCAGGAGGCTGAGACACCAAAGCAGGACCAGGACAACCATCAAACCCAGGAAGCTGAGACATCAAAGCAGGATCGGGACACCCATCAAACCCAAGAGGGCGAGACATCAAAGCAGGATCAGGACACACGTCAAAGCCAGGAGGGTGAGACATCAAAGCAGGATCAGGACACACGTCAAACCCAAGAGGGTGAGACACCAAAGCAGGACCCAGACAACCATCAAACCCAGGAGGGTGAGACAAAGGAGGAGGACCAGGACACCCATCAAACCCAGGAGGGTGAGACAAAGGAGGAGGACCAGGACACCCATCAAACCCAGGAGGGTGAGACAAAGGAGGAGGACCAGGACACCCATCAAACCCAGGAGGGTGAGAAACCAGAGCAAGAACAGGACACTCATCAGGATGATGGGACTGAAGCACCAGGAGGGGATCCAGAGAGAGGTGAGATCCTGGACACTGCAACCCCAGAGCAGGACAGAAATACCCATAAGGCTGAAGTGACTGAGACACCAAAACAGGACCCAAAACTCCACCTGACCAAAGAAATTGATGCACCAAGACAGGGTTCAAATGACTATCAGAGCCCAGAGATGGAGTCAGAAGAGCAGGACCTGAACTGTCTCTCTGAGACACAAGAGAGATACCCAAACAAAGACACCCAGGTCTGTGAGGTCCCTTGGCATGACCCCAACCCCAGCAAGGCTCAGAAGCTGCTGGCTCCACAGTTGGGTGCAAGCCCCCGTTGGGATCCCAAGCTCCAGGGATCACTCCATGACCCAACTATCCATCATCTCCCTGAACCCAAGGTGCTGGAGCAGGAGCACGGTGAGGCAGAGGCTCCATCTTGTCCAGCACAACAACAACAAGACCCTCATCACCAAAGACAACCCACGATGGAGCAACAGCTCCTACAGCCTCTGTACCAGTGGCCACCACAGCAGTAAAGGCTGAAACAAGCCCAAGTGAGGTTGCTGCTCCTGTGAGGAGCTCCACCTGTCCAGCCCCACCCTGGGTTTTGCATTTCTACCTGTCATAACTTGTCTGATCCCTTATTAACCCCTGGGCTTCACTCCCCTGAGCTCTGCATGACTAGAGACCTTCCCTCTTGGAGACCTTCCCCCTTGGAGACCTCTCTTACCCTGCATTAGGTTGTCTCTGCCTGTCTAAGCAAAGCAATAAAACTGAAGGCAAAAGGGTGCAGTGTTCCCATATGTTACAAAGTCATGGAATGGTTTGGGTTGGGGGGACCCCAAAACTCACCCCATCCCACCCCCTGACACAGGCAGGGACACCTCCCAGCAGCCCAGGCTGCTCCAAGCCCCATCCAACCTGCCCTTCAACACCCCCAGGGATGGGGCAGCCACAGCTTCCCTGGCCAACCTGGCCCAGGCTCTCCCCACCCTCACACTCCACAATCCCCTCCTCAGCTCCAACCTCCAGCTCCCTCTCCCACTTTTCATCCCTCCCCCTCATCCCATCCTTCCCTGCCCTTGGCCCAAGTCCCTCCCCAGCTTTCCTGGAGCCCCTTCAGGCCCTGGAAGCTGCTCTAAGGTCTCCCTGGAGCCTTCTCTTCTCCAGGCTACTGCAACCATGCCCTCAGCCCAGCTCTGAGCAAACACCTGGGTTACCATGATGTGGTGTACAGGACCTGAGCATCCATCTCTCATGTTGACATATGGCCAGATAGCTCCAGGGTGCAGCTGGAGGCTGGTGTGTCTCCGGGGTGGAAAGCCTCAAGGAGCTTCTTCTTGGCCACATCTGCTATCTCCCTGAGGTGAATTGATTGCTCCTGAGGGCAGGGAGGGGACATCCCTGCAAGGGATGTCTGCAGAGGGGCCAGAAGGTTGGATTAACCCAACAGCACAGCCAACCTGAAGAGAGTCCTCCCAACACCCACCTGCTCCAGGTGTTCCTCACGTTTGATGTGAAAAGAACAAACAGCTGCTTAACACAGAATGGGAGGGATTTGTCCTATTGAGCCTCCCTTGGCAGTAATCTCAGAAGCAAGGGGAGTGTGGAGTATGAAGATCAACAATCCTGTTCAGTGTGGAAGGAGTTGAGATACATTAAACACGGGGAAAATTATCATTCAGGTACATCTGGTCCCAGTACCAACTGGGAGGGCAGGATGAAAACCTGACATGCCAACTGGGACAACTGGAGCCAAGTTCCAGCTGAGATTCAGTGCAGGGTGCCAGGTCCTTGGGCATGTGTCCAGACACACACACAGAGGAATGTGGGTAACTCACAGCATGAGCAGACTGATGAAGTCAGTGGGTTTATCTTGTGAGACCCCACCTGGAATAGTGTGGCCAGTTCTGGAGCCCCCAACATAAGAAGGACATGGAGCTCTTGGAGAGAGGCCAGAGGAGGCCAAGGTGATGCTCAGAGGCTGGAGCAGCTCTGGAGCCAGGCTGGGAGGGTTGGGGTGTTCAGCCTGGAGAAGAGAAGGCTCCAGAGAGACCTTAGAGCAGCTTCCAGTGCCTGAAGGGGCTCCAGGAAAGCTGGGGAGAGGCTTTGCAGAAGGGATTGTTGAAAAAGGACAAGGGCGAATGGATTAAAACTGGAAGAGGGGAGGTAAACATTGGACATGAAGAGGAAATTCTTGGCTGTGAAGGTGGGGAGACCCTGGGCCAGGTTGCCCAGGGAAGCTGTGGCTGCCCCATCCCTGGGGGTGTTGAAGGGCAGGTTGGATGGGGCTTGGAGCAGCCTGGGCTGGTGGGAGGTGTCCCTGCCCATGCAAATGAGTTGGATCTAGATCTTTAAGGTTCCTCCAACCCATACTATTCCATGATTCTATGACCACCAGGCAGGCCCATAGGGAGGGGGGTGCTCAGCCTGTTTTCCATCATGCAATCTCACTTGTGACCTATCAACAACATCAAGCACCTGATAAATGCACCCACACCTCCTGCTCTGTGGCCAGTGACAAGCAGCACCCAGAGACCTCACTGGGCCACAAAACGTCATTCCTTTGGGACACCCCAGGATTTCACAATTTGCTTGGTGCTGAATCAGGAAAATGAGCATTTCAAAATTGTCCCCAGAACATACGTCCCCAAAACGATTCACTTTGATGGTGCTCATGTCAAAATTCAATGTACTGGACACAAAACAAACAACTCTCCTCGACTGCTGATGAAATATGTTTAAAAAAAGAGGTTCTGACCCACCTCGTGGCCACTGTGGAGATGAAATGGGAGACTCAAGACTTAAATTTCATCATCTATCTGTCAAAGCCTCCTTCCACCTGAGCCATTCCTCAAAACTTCGTTTTCCAGAGAACTCCATTTTTTAGGTTAAATAGGTGTCAATGAAAGGTTTGTCCAAAAGTCCTTTGCTTATTAGCTCTGGTTTAGGGGCTGAAATGACCAGAGACAACCCTCCCCAGGCAGCCTGTCTGCCATCATCTGTAGCAGCAGTAAAAAACCTGACCTTCCACGTCAAGCAGGCACCTAAATCAGAGATAATTCAAACAGTTTGGGTTGGAAATGGCCTTAAAGATCACCCAGTCCCACCCCCCCATGGGCAGGGACACCTCCCAGCAGCCCAGGCTGCTCCAAGCCCCATCCAACCTGCCCTTCAACACCCCCAGGGATGGGGCAGCCACAGCTTCCCTGGGCAACCTGGCCCAGGGTCTCCCCACCCTCACACTCAAGAATTTTTTCTTAATTATATGCTCTATTCTGAACAATGTTATTTTTGCCACCAGGAGTGTCATATTTGAAGCAAAAAAAAGGGGGGGTTGGTTAATTTTAAGGAGAATATGAACATTTTGCCACTGACACAAATAACTAAGGGTCCTGCAAGAGAAAAGGTCTTTTATACACCCCATGAGGAGCCCAGTTCTTCTCAGATTAAATTCAACACAAGCTTGATCACCCTATATAAACACAAAAGGGGCCAAGATTGGATGAGGAGGAGGAGGATGGACCCCACATCCTTGCATAACAGCTTTTAAAAACCCACCCAAGTCCTGTCTTACAAAAGCATCTTTGGGGAAAACGAAGCCCTGGAAGGAAAGGTGGTTGCAGGGTTGCTGAGAGTGCTTTGAAGCTCATGGCTTTGTCCTGGGAATTAAAAAAATCAAGCAGGGGGAAGCAGGAGATGACCTTTTCCTGCTTGGATGCCCCAACTCTGCCCAGCAGCTCCTGGAGCACTCGACCATCCCACAGCGCCCAGCCCCTGCAGGGGGATTCCAGACTGTTACAGGACACCAAGCCACATTCTAATGCTCTAATTTTCGTAATAACTCCAATCTACCAGAAAATTACCGTTTCCCAAGGGTATTATTATCCCACAGGTGGGGTATAATTTGCACAAGTATAATTTAATCTTGAAAAAAAGCTCAAAAATGAAGCATGGTTAGTAACGATCCTCCGTACGCACTCGTATGAGTATCCCCAAGGTGTTACCAGCACTAATTAATTAGGCTCCTACACCCAGGATGATCTTACCTTATGGATGGGCCAGATGAGCCACTCACCCAAGGCTGCATGACAAGTTCATGCTCTGGAGGCTCCTTGCAATGTCTCCGTCACGCTTGTCAAGGCAACATCCTACCTCCAAAACCAAAAGCAGGGGCCCAGGTGGCCCGGTCGGTGTCTTCCTTATTTGCTCTGTCTGCTGGGAATGTTCAGGGTGAATAAAGGAATCAGTTGGTCTCTAATTAATGTACTGTTAAAGGATTTGTTAAAATATAGAAGATTGTCGAGGTAATTACAGCAAAAAAGCTGCCTAGGGCGACCAGATGAAGACTCAACATGAAGTGACCTCTCAGCAGAGAGGTGTTTGTTTTTATTTGTAATTAAAGATCAAGCAAAGCTGAAATCCAAGTCACTCAGGGAAGACAGTTACTAGGGAAAAAAATCAAAGCCTTTGCATGATTTATCTCAAGGAAAAGTCATTAAACATTTTCCTTGTGCAAAAACTCAGTTAGCAAACTTTACCAATTTCAGATGTTCTGTTTGGGGTTGGGTTGTGGGTTGGGGGTTTTTTCTGCCAATCAATAAACCTGGATAATACAACAACAAACAAAAAGGCTCCTGAAAAAGAAGTTGTCAAAACTAAACCACATTTTTCAGCACAATTTACAAGCCAAGGTCTGGAGGATTTGGGGACCTCACTGCCTGTGCATTTTCAGAACACTTAGGTCTTCTTCTGTCCTTCTGGAACCAAAAGCCAGATCTAAACCCCATGGACCTCAGGCCCAAGGTGTTGAAGGAACTGTCCAAAAAGCAAATAAAAATAATAATCTGGCATTGTGGTGCCAAGTTCATGGGCCACAGAGACCTCAACTGTCCCCAGTCTGCTGATAGAGAGCTCTGCTGCCACCAGCACTTCTGTCCCCATCCTCAGAATTTCACTCTGCTACTATTTTTATGTATGTTATATATATATATAAATTAATTCCTATGCAGGTGTATGTTTCTATAAAATTAGAGCCTCCCATTAATGCACATAAATGTTTTACAGCCACTCTAGATGATTTTCTTTTCTTTTTTAATCTGAAATAAAATCATCCTGTAAAATAACTTTACAGTCTGGATTAGGTGGAACCAGCCAGTGCCTGAATTGCCACATGGCAACTGCTATTTCTGGGTTAAAATGATAGGTAAGGGGATGGTAAGTTAAATAACCCGTTTGAGGACGTGAAGGTGCAGCTGGGCTTGGCCAAAGATGAATCAGGACAACGTCCACAAAGGGTGTCTCCTTTCTGCAGCTCCCTCAAGGACCCTATAAAAGCTCCCAGGTCCTCCCATCGCTCCACACGGCTTCACAGGAATCCCACTGGATCCCATTGGTGAGTTGGGTAAGTGCCTTCTTCTGAAGCTGGGAGAAAGATGTGGTATTTCTGTAGGATTCATGGTGGGTGGGAGCATCATCCCTGCTGTGGGATTTTCGGGGAGTTTTTTTGCGTTTCTACCCAGTGCAGGGTTGGTTGGTGTTACCAGGAACCCAACAGGGCATCCATGTGTAGGCGCAGCTTTTCTGAAAGGGAAAATGAGAGAGGGAGCCAGGGTTTGTGCCTTGCTTTGGTCTGGAGTCAGATCCCAGCTGGAGATGTGGAGAAATTGGAGAAATGTTCAGTTTTCTACAGAAATATATATTAAAAAACCCAATCAAAACCCAACAGATAGAACTGCACGTGCAGAGGGGTGCACTTGTGTCCATGCCTACGTGCAGCTCTAGAGGCATCGAGGCAGACACGGCTCAGAGGTCTCAGCTCTGATGGAGCTGATAACAGGCTCAGGGATCCTGCCAGGAGGAAAGAAGGAGAGAAGGAAGGAGGTGGCTTCTGAGGTTTCCAGACACAAAGCTCCAACAGGAGCACTGCTTTCTGCCAGGCAGATCTCAGTGACATTTAATCAGGAGCTCTGACCAGCGTGATCTGATAGTTCTCTTTTGGCCAATATCTCTTTGCCAATGACCTGCTGCTGCATGAATTGGTTTGCATTCCTCATGGTCACAAGGAACCAGCCACAGGGCTTGGTTTAATTCCCTGGGAGCACCCTACCTGTCTGTGACCCAGTTAGATCTTGTCTCAGGCCATGCCAGCTCCACCTCAGATATCCTCTAACCTGCTCCAGAGGTGCTGGTGTATCTCAGTGCCAGGCAGAGATAGCAACTTGGGTCATGGAGACAGAAGTACCTGGTGTAGTCCCATGGAGGCTGGTTCTTGGGGCATCTCTTGAGTCACCACCCCCAGTTCCCTCCCTGCGACCCACAAATGCAGGCATCCTGCCACCCCCTACCCAACGTCATTCAAATACGTCAGTAGACAAGTTGGAGGACACTCCTCATCCCACTAAAAACCCCAAGCATTTAGGGAGGGACTCTAGAAAAGGGCTTGCAGAGAGAGGACAAGGAGAAGTGGATTAAAACTGGAACAGGGGAGATTTAGATCAGACACTAGGAGGAAATTCTTCTCTGTGTGGGTGTTGAGACCCTGGAACGCAGATAAGCTGTGGCTGCCCCATCCCTGGAAGTGTCCAAGGGCAGGTTGGATGGGGCTTGGAGCAACCTGGGCTGGTGGGAGGTGTCCCTGACCATGCAGGGGGTTGGATCTTGAAAGTCCCTTCCAACCCAAACTATTCCGTGAGTCGATTATCCTACGATTCCTTCCCCTGGTGAAACAGCTCACCATGGCATGGGAGAGGACACCCAGCACAGGGCACCTAGCACCCCATTAACACAAGTGGCATTTCTCCCCCCTTTTTTCATGCCCAGAAGCAAGTGAATCCCCCATCCTTAGCTCTGTTCCTCCTCTTGCAGGCTTGCTTGAATCTGCAGGAAGATGTCTCACTTCTTGGATGGCATTTGCACCATCATCGGTGTCTTTCACAAACTTGTGAAGGAAGATGGAGACTCCTCCAACCTCAGCCGAAAGAAGATGAAGGAGTTCATCCAGAGGGAGTTTGCAGATGTCATAGATGTGAGTTCTGCTGTGATGAGAAGGGCTTGAGGCCAAGACTGGAGGGCAAGGAGTGGAAAACCTCCTTCTGGAGAGGGGATGGTTCTTATAGCAGTGGGATGGGGGAGGTTTTCACCAAAGCAGAGCAGTACTTGTGTTCCTTCAAACCAGCTGTTTCTACAGCTGCTCCAACTTATTTTGTCAGGAGCAAATGGGCAAAAGCTGGAGAACAGACAGAAAGGGTTGTCAAGAATTGGAACAGGCTGCCCAGGGAGGTGGTGGAGTCATCATCCCTGGATGTGTTTAGAAGTTGTGTAGATGCGGTGCTGAGGGACCTGGTTTAACATCAGACTTGGTAGAGTCGGGTGAATGGTTGATGGAGTTGGTTTATGATTTAACTCGATGATCTCAAAGGTCTTTTCCAACCAGAAGGATTCTATGAGGTCTGGTTTTCTCTCGAAGGAAATGCAGCCAGTGGAGGGATGTGGCAAAACCCAGGGAGAAGACAGCTTGTTAGTCTCAGCCAGGAGAATGGAGAACAAAGACATGGAGTTACTGCTGAGCTATAAAAGCAAAGGTGTGAGAGATGGAAGCAGGAAGGATGGCATTTGTCCCTGTCTTTGCATTTCCCTAACAAAGAGCAGAAAGTCTAAAAATCCCTGGTTTTTGTTTCCCTGTGTGTGTTTTCCCTGCAGAAGCCCCATGACCCTCAGACGCTCGACAAGATTCTGCACTTTCTGGAGTGGGATGGAGACGGGGAAATAGATTTCAATGAGTTCCTGCTTTTGGCCTTCCGAGTGGCCAAGGCCTGCTACTGGTACCCACCAAAGGCACCAGGTCTTCTGCAGAGAACAAAGCTGAGCACCAGCAGCAAGTCACTCCGAGAGCCAGAAGCTAAGAGCAGAGAGAGCCATCAGGAGCTGCAGGAAGAAGAACAACGAACCTGTGAGGACAATCAATGAACCTGAGCTGCAACGAGACACCAGGGTCAATGAGCTCGAAACACTAGAAGAAACAAGGAGTCATCAACAGCAACAGAACACACGAAGAAGAAATGAAGCAAAACTAAGCAGAGAGCCGGGGGAGTCAATCCTCCAGAGAGAAGAAGAAAGAAGCCAAGAGCCACACAACTGGCAGAACAGCCAGAGAAGAAGTCAGCCACCAGGGCTGGACAGACGAGGCGACGTGCAACTCAGCAAGGGTGGCAGCTGGCAAGAACATGAGGCTGGACGGAGGGCAGATGAGAAGCAAAATCAAGAGAGGACTCAAAGAGAACAAGTGGGAGACATGAGGAGTTGTAGTCAAACCTGTGAACCTCAACAACTGCCAAACCGGTGGAGTAGCCATCAGCTACAGGAGCCAGAACGACCAGCTTATGATCAAACCAACCAGTGGCCACATGAAGAAGAAAGAGGAAGGCACAAGCAGCCACGTAAACCTGAGTTAATAAGAGAAGAGAGAAACCGCTACCTACTACGTGCACTGGAACAAAATGAACTTGAAGAAAGAGGCGACCAGCCATGTGAGCCTGAATGCCTGGAAACAAGACACCCACATCAGTCATACATTCAGGACCCGCTAGAAATTGAAACCAATTACAAAGAGAATTATGAAGCAGAGAGAGATAACGATGAACAAAGAAACAGAAAGGAGGAAGAGCTTCAATACACAGTAGCTAAAAGACAGATACACGATCAAGAAAGAGAAGACAGAGATATTGAAAATAGACAAGAGCCTGTGCAGAAGAGGAGGATCCAGCGGGAAAGGGACCTGGACCTTGAGGTCTATGAGCGCCGCAGCCGTGAGACACAAGACAGGGAAGAGCCGGGGGCCAGGACTGAAAGGACACGAGACACCAGGGTGGTGGCAGCAGAAGCTGATCTAGACATCAAACGTCTGTCCCGGGAGCCACGAGCAGAGCCTGAAAGGAGGGATCGATCCCGTGTAAGAGAAGATCAGGAGGATGAGAGAAGAATCCCCAGTGAAGAGGGGAGTGAAGAGCCCAGGCAGGGGAGGAGGATCCAGCAGGAAAGGGAGCGGGACCTCGAGGTCTATGAGCGCCGCAGCCGTGAGACACGAGACAGGGAAGAGCCGGGGGCCAGGACTGAAAGGACACGAGACACTAGGGTGGTGGCAGCAGAGGCTGATCTACACATCAAACGTGTGTCCCGGGAGCCACGAGCACAGCCTGAAAGGAGGGATCGATCCCGTGTAAGAGAAGATCTGGAGGACCTGAGAAGAATCCCCTGTGAAGAAGGGAGTGAAGAGCCTGTGAGGGACAGGAAGATCCAGCGGGAACAGGATCTGGCCCTTGAGGTCTACGAGCGCCGCAGCCGAGAGACACGAGTCAGGGAAGAGCCGGGGGCCAGGACTGAAAGGACACGAGACACTAGGGTGGTGGCAGCAGAGGCTGATCTACACATCAAACGTGTGTCCCGGGAGCCACGAGCACAGCCTGAAAGGAGGGATCGATCCCGTGTAAGAGAAGATCTGGAGGACCTGAGAAGAATCCCCTGTGAAGAAGGGAGTGAAGAGCCTGTGAGGGACAGGAAGATCCAGCGGGAACAGGATCTGGCCCTTGAGGTCTACGAGCGCCGCAGCCGAGAGACACGAGTCAGGGAAGAGCCGGGGGCCAGGACTGAAAGGACACGAGACACTAGGGTGGTGGCAGCAGAGGCTGATCTACACATCAAACGTGTGTCCCGGGAGCCACGAGCACAGCCTGAAAGGAGGGATCGATCCCGTGTAAGAGAAGATCTGGAGGACCTGAGAAGAATCCCCTGTGAAGAAGGGAGTGAAGAGCCTGTGAGGGACAGGAAGATCCAGCGGGAACAGGATCTGGCCCTTGAGGTCTACGAGCGCCGCAGCCGAGAGACACGAGTCAGGGAAGAGCCGGGGGCCAGGACTGAAAGGACACGAGACACTAGGGTGGTGGCAGCAGAGGCTGATCTACACATCAAACGTGTGTCCCGGGAGCCACGAGCACAGCCTGAAAGGAGGGATCGATCCCGTGTAAGAGAAGATCTGGAGGACCTGAGAAGAATCCCCTGTGAAGAAGGGAGTGAAGAGCCTGTGAGGGACAGGAAGATCCAGCGGGAACAGGATCTGGCCCTTGAGGTCTACGAGCGCCGCAGCCGAGAGACACGAGTCAGGGAAGAGCCGGGGGCCAGGACTGAAAGGACACGAGACACTAGGGTGGTGGCAGCAGAGGCTGATCTACACATCAAACGTGTGTCCCGGGAGCCACGAGCACAGCCTGAAAGGAGGGATCGATCCCGTGTAAGAGAAGATCTGGAGGACCTGAGAAGAATCCCCTGTGAAGAAGGGAGTGAAGAGCCTGTGAGGGACAGGAAGATCCAGCGGGAACAGGATCTGGCCCTTGAGGTCTACGAGCGCCGCAGCCGAGAGACACGAGTCAGGGAAGAGCCGGGGGCCAGGACTGAAAGGACACGAGACACTAGGGTGGTGGCAGCAGAGGCTGATCTACACATCAAACGTGTGTCCCGGGAGCCACGAGCACAGCCTGAAAGGAGGGATCGATCCCGTGTAAGAGAAGATCTGGAGGACCTGAGAAGAATCCCCTGTGAAGAAGGGAGTGAAGAGCCTGTGAGGGACAGGAAGATCCAGCGGGAACAGGATCTGGCCCTTGAGGTCTACGAGCGCCGCAGCCGAGAGACACGAGTCAGGGAAGAGCCGGGGGCCAGGACTGAAAGGACACGAGACACTAGGGTGGTGGCAGCAGAGGCTGATCTACACATCAAACGTGTGTCCCGGGAGCCACGAGCACAGCCTGAAAGGAGGGATCGATCCCGTGTAAGAGAAGATCTGGAGGACCTGAGAAGAATCCCCTGTGAAGAAGGGAGTGAAGAGCCTGTGAGGGACAGGAAGATCCAGCGGGAACAGGATCTGGCCCTTGAGGTCTACGAGCGCCGCAGCCGAGAGACACGAGTCAGGGAAGAGCCGGGGGCCAGGACTGAAAGGACACGAGACACTAGGGTGGTGGCAGCAGAGGCTGATCTACACATCAAACGTGTGTCCCGGGAGCCACGAGCACAGCCTGAAAGGAGGGATCGATCCCGTGTAAGAGAAGATCTGGAGGACCTGAGAAGAATCCCCTGTGAAGAAGGGAGTGAAGAGCCTGTGAGGGACAGGAAGATCCAGCGGGAACAGGATCTGGCCCTTGAGGTCTACGAGCGCCGCAGCCGAGAGACACGAGTCAGGGAAGAGCCGGGGGCCAGGACTGAAAGGACACGAGACACTAGGGTGGTGGCAGCAGAGGCTGATCTACACATCAAACGTGTGTCCCGGGAGCCACGAGCACAGCCTGAAAGGAGGGATCGATCCCGTGTAAGAGAAGATCTGGAGGACCTGAGAAGAATCCCCTGTGAAGAAGGGAGTGAAGAGCCTGTGAGGGACAGGAAGATCCAGCGGGAACAGGATCTGGCCCTTGAGGTCTACGAGCGCCGCAGCCGAGAGACACGAGTCAGGGAAGAGCCGGGGGCCAGGACTGAAAGGACACGAGACACTAGGGTGGTGGCAGCAGAGGCTGATCTACACATCAAACGTGTGTCCCGGGAGCCACGAGCACAGCCTGAAAGGAGGGATCGATCCCGTGTAAGAGAAGATCTGGAGGACCTGAGAAGAATCCCCTGTGAAGAAGGGAGTGAAGAGCCTGTGAGGGACAGGAAGATCCAGCGGGAACAGGATCTGGCCCTTGAGGTCTACGAGCGCCGCAGCCGAGAGACACGAGTCAGGGAAGAGCCGGGGGCCAGGACTGAAAGGACACGAGACACCAGGGTGGTGGCAGCTAAGAGAAGATCAGGAGGATGAGAGAAGAATCCCCAGTGAAGAGGGGACTGAAGAGCCCGTGAGGGACAGGAAGATCCAGCGGGAACAGGATCTGGACCTTGAGGTCTACGAGCGCCGCAGCCGTGAGACACGAGTCAGGGAAGAGCCGGGGGCCAGGACTGAAAGGACACGAGACACCAGGGTGGTGGCAGCAGAAGCTGATCTAGACATCAAACGTGTGTCCCGTGAAAGAGACCAACGAGCAGAGCCTGAAAGGAGGGATCGATCCCGTGTAAGAGAAGATCTGGAGGACGAGAGAAGAATCCCC